AACCTCGATGTCGCCGGCGAAATTGAACAGAACCAATGATTATGAACACCTAACTGAATTTAAGGTAAGTGCAACGTGCAAAAATTGTACACTAGTTGAGTACCGATAGTATTCCTAAAAGTGATTTATACACACGCTTTCTATTCATTTTTTTTTAGAAGGACGAGAAGTTACTATCCCTATTATATAAATGCCTATTATTTATACCTGTTAAAATTATGATAACTTAGGTATTTAAATAAAAGCAATTTTCTGATTTGGGATAAATCTAGCCTGTAACACAATGTGTATTTGAAGACGATGCGATATTCGTGATAATGGTTATATGTTGATGATCCCAATGAACCCGAGTGGGATTTCATTGTGATAATGACAGCCGCTGATGTTAGGAACATATAAGTAAAAATATCGTGGTAAACGAAGGTCATTTAAGAAAACTTTAAAAGTAATTAGGGGAAGATAAGATACCTTAAAAATAACCAACCAACGTATTAAAGGTTTAAATGCGTCCCTAGAATTCTAATAAGATGGTGAATATAATTAGAGCTCTCAGTCTCCGGCAACCTTTAGGTTGAAAGAGAGTGATAAGAATCTCCAGGTGGACAAAACGTATCGCAACATGGAATGTTACTTCAATATTTGAAGCGGGAAAACTTCAAGACATAGACATACTGAGAGTCAGTGAATCAAGGTGGCCAGGAACAGGTAATATGATACAAAAGGACAGTATTATCCGGACCGAGTTATAATACTACAACTTGCCGGAAAACCAATGGGCATAACTTTAATACGAATATAGGCCCCTACTGCTGACAAAGAAGACCAGCTTATAAACTGTGTAGCAAACTTCGAATTGGGCCAAAGAAACAGCAGAGGAGACCGACTTATTCAGTGTTGTGAGGAAAATGACCTCATGGTAACAAACAGCTTCCTTCAACTTCCACCAGAGTCTCCCCAAAAAACAACAAAAAAGATATAATTAGTAATCATATATTTCATTCTTATAAGTGAAAGTTTTAAGAGCCGCATTAGATATGTTAGAACATACCCTGGTGCTGATATCAATTACAATCATAACCCGGTAATCGCCAAAATTAATATACGATTAAAGAAACCTCCAAAAACAAAGAAAAAAAATCAATTTGATCCAAGACTCCTTGAAGATAAAATAGCCAAAGGTAAACTGACCAAAGAAATTAATAATAATCTTGAAAAGTTACCAACTGATATACATGCACATAACTTAAACGAGACTTGGTAACAAATCAAATACAAAATAATGAAAGAAAGTCAGAAGCAGATAAGATCAACCAATCGACCAAAGAAGGAGTGGATGATGAATTAAATATTGGCACTTATGGAAAAAAGAAGACTACAAAAGAACGGAGAGAAAACAGCTTACAGGGAAAGAACCAGAGAAATTAGAAGAAAAATAAAAGTCGCTAAAGAAGAATGGATATCGAAAAAGTTATAAAAATAGACACATCAACCACCTTTGGAATGAGAATGGAAGAAGTCATATATTGAAAAACTCATTCAAGGGAATAATCCCCCATAATCACGATAGTAATTAGCAGGCGGCGCCTCCTATTACAAAAATAGAGGTTAAATATGCCATTCAAAATCATAAAAAAGTAAAAGCCAACGCCATTTTAGCAGATTTATTTTACGTATATACAAAACTGCTATTATACCCACAGAATGGCTACAATCGATGTTCGTTACCTTGCCAAAAGTAAATCACCCAAAGCGTCGAGAAGACTACCGCACAATTAGTTTGATGTGTAATATGCTAAAAATCTTTCTAAAAGTAATACACGGCAGAATATATCGGAAATATGAGATGACACTGACAAATACCTAATCCGTTTTCAGAAATGGCCTGGAGATTCGAGAAGCGCTGTTTGGCGTCAACGTGTTGGTACAACGATGTCGAAATATTAACAAAGATATATATTTAGGATTCATCGACTTACCGAAAAGCCTTTGACAAAGTTGATAGAAATAATTGACAATCTGAACCTAGACTATTTGAAGATATCAATTTAATAACAAATTTATACTGAAATTAAAAAGCAAATGTGTTGGTTGACTCTCAGATGACGAATGATAATGAGATTCAGCGAGGAGTAAGACAATTCTGTATTGTGTCACCATTGTTTTTTAATATGTACTCGGAGGACATTTTTAATCAGGCTTTGAAGGATATTAATGTGGCTATTAACATCCACGGGATCCTCATCAATAACATCTGATACGCGGATGATAGCAACGTCATCATTTATAGTAGCAATGAATATGGCCATAAATGAACATCAAAAAAACAAAGTATATGGTAATTGAACGAGGACAGCATATGGAAACACCAATAAGAATTAGAAGTGAAGAGATACAGCGAATTTACTAATATAAATACTTGGGTGTAATCATCACCGACGACTGGAGACAAGAAACGGAAATCAAATGTCGCATCGAACAAGCCAGAAAAGTTTTTATGAAAATAAAGACATTGACAATCGTGGCTGTAATGTCGGATTCAGAAAGCGTATCCTTAAGTGCTATGCGTTCCCGGTGATTTTATGTGGAATGAATTCGTGGACGATAACATAAACACTGTCCAAAAGAATTACCGTCTTTGGGATGTGGGCATATCGCAGGTTGAATTCTCAAACAGAACTTCTTCTTACCATCAAAAAGCGAAAGTTTGAGTATTTTGAGTAAACAAATATTAATTATTAAAAATGATAATTCAAGGAAAAATTAACAGACGCAGAAGACCTCCTGGCTGAAGAATTTAAGACCATGGACTGGAAAAACAACAGCTGAACTATTTCGAACAGCGGCTTCGAAAGTTCAAATTGTCTTATTAGTTTCCAACCTTCATAAAGGAGAGAGCACTTGAAGAAGAGGAACATATATGTGTAACGTAGGTTCTCTAGCAATAGGAAAGTATGATGAACTATACGATGTGTAATAATATATTGAAACACTTCATCAGTATCTATTTTTTTAGGTCAGCAATCTGATATGTTAATTGACCAAAAAAAATGACGTGGTTAAGGGAGCATGGAGCATGGATTATGGATGATCTCTTAATTGAATAACCGATGGGCCGATTTCACTAAAAAGGGTTAAACTTGTTGAATTTTGTCAAATTTCAAAGATTTTCATGTGTTTTTTAGATTTGATGTTTTAAATGTCGGTTTTATTTATCATGTCATGAATATGTTGTAAAGTATATAATTTTTTAAGAAGTCGTATTGCAAGAAACCATTAATATTTTGTTTCAATTGCACTTATTGTTCATATTTTTTATATGTTTGTGTGTTTGAATTTTGATATTAGTTTTCCTCTTGCTGATATTTTTATTCTTGCCCTCGAAATGTAGCTTAATAAATAGAATATTTAAAAATTTACTTAACTGACATTTTTCATTATAAGCAAGATCATTGGAAATTCGCGGCAATTTGAATGATATTTTGTTGTAATTATTGAAGTACTTGAATCTATGCCCTATGAAACTGATTCAACCTCCATTTTTTAATATAAGCCTTTATTAAAATAAAATATTTCTTTACTTAACAACACAAATGTTGGAACCTCCAAGTTTTCAATAATCTTCTCCGACTATGTGTAAAAACAAGATGATTTTTTATTTTTATTTTTTATTTTATTATTTTATTTGTTATACTATCCACTAAAAGGAAGAAAAGAAGATTTTCGATTTCCGATTATACAATATTTCCCTGCCCTAAAGAACAAAAGTGTTGCCATTAACCTTTGAACATCAATATTAACCATTCCCCTGAACAAGACAACTTCAAACTCAACAATCTAAGTCCATTTTCATCTTTCATCTTTATTCCAAATTAAAACACAATATCCCTGGATATGTAGTGAATTATATTACCATTTTAATAAATAGTGAACATTACTATGTCATGTACAATGCATTTGAACTGGAAGGTTTTAAGTTAAATTTGGAAATATATTTCACATCCATACTGTATTCATGCGGTGTGTTTATTTCATTAAGATTGACAATCGAGATCCAAATGTTTTTTGTGGCTTAATCAATTATTTTTTACAAAGTGTAATTACACGTTGGGAACTCCTAGGTACCGCGCTAGAGACGCTTATAAAAAACCCAATATTGCTAAAACCATCTTCCTGCGATTTTCTTCGGTTCACGGTTCGCTCAGAAAGTACAAAATATTTGTTAGCGTTTACTTTCTTTTTCAATTACTTCCGCATCGTCCCTTAGTATCTAAACCATTTAGAGGACCGTGTCGTTAGTTACACGTTAATTTGGCAACGTTGTGTTCGCAGTCTTACTTAATTGGACCATAAACATCACCGCGAGGCGTGGGTCCACTTGGCAACAGTTAATGAGTATGATGAGTAGTTGCGCAACTCCGGGGGATGCTGTACGATTTTCGTAATTTACTGATTAGGGTTTAATTTTAAGTAGACGAGGAAAGAAATATAAACCCGACGCTATACAGGGTGTTTCCGTTTTTTTCTTTTTATGCTTTAAATGAAAAAAAAAAGTTAAGATCTGTAAATCTCGTTAGAACTTTGTATGCCTATTTTGTTGAACTTTTCTGAAGGTTTGACTAGCCTATTTGATTACTTTTGTAACCAAACATCCGAAAGAAGACTTGAAAAGAAAATGTAAGAAATATTTCAAATTATATTGTATAAAATTGTATGATGTCATAAAGTATGACACGAATTTTTCAGCAAATTTTTTATTGCTGCGGTTTGCCATGTATAAGACAAACATACAAATATTTCCTATCGTTTATATTTGCCACCGGAGCCGTGGGTTTAGATTGACGATATAATTTCGATAGTCGATTTTGCTTGAATTTGCTAAAACCCACCGTCACTCAAAATATATTCGAGATGACACAACACCGTCACTTGGTAACAATATCTAACTTAAATCATTTCATCTCGTCTCCGTGTCATCCTAAACTTTCTTCTTCTTGTTGCAGATTACGAGATCCGGCGAAAACGACGTTACGCTGCGAGGGGTGAGACGGGAGTTGACAGGGGATTACAAATGCGAGGTGTCAGCTGATGGACCCCGATTTCACACTGACATTTTGAGCGCTCATATGACCGTCGTCGGTGAGTCATATTTTATATTTTATACGAAGCTTTTTGCCGGGATTTTTTTGCTTCTTGTAAGGTTGGCGTCGATGTTAATGTAGTGGGTTCCTCGGCGTCGCCGTCTAGTGCCTGACGTCCGCCGTAGGGTAAAAAATTTGGACGTCGGAGGCTGTAAAATATGCATTTCATTTATTACATTTTGTCACGCTTTTTGTGCACCGTAACGGTATCGGTAACGCAAAGGCAGCGTTTTACTTTTTTTTCGACAATTTGTTTACCATATGGAAAACAAATAATTACGGGGAAACAATTCGATCTACTTTTAGTTGAAATCACTGGAGTTCGGATTTTTATGCACAGAAAATGCTTAAATATGGGCATAAATATATTTTTCCAAAAAATATGTCAAATATATGCTTTTTTCTACCATACATGTATTTTTATGACCTTTATTTTTTACATATATTGCTTACTGAAAATCAAGGAGAGAATAGTCAAACAACGAAAAGAATTACATTATATTATATTATATTAATTGTTAGTATTTATTAACATTAACTAACAATAAATTAGTGATTTATATCTGTATACTTATACCTCACCTATATTAAAGCGTTATGGTAACACCTATTTAATTTTACAATCAGACCTATTATTATTGTACCAATTGACAATCAAATGCAGTTTTAAATTTTCTATGGTTAATTTTTGTCTTTTATCGCTTAATATGCTTTTGTACGTGGAGAAAGTCCTTTCTACTCGACCAAAGTAATTGGCGCGAATTTAAATGATGCAAGAGGTTCTGGTTCATAAGTAACTTTTGAAACCCTTCATTTTTTGTTGTTACACTATTAAATTTATCAAGAATAATTTACCCTATTCTGCTTGGAACTTTTTCAACAAATGTTAGCACTGTTCTACTATTGAAAGTGACTCTGACAAAGACATTTATTCGGTCTCTAATTGTTTCATAAAGCCACTTAAAAAATTAAAATTAGCTTTGATATATGTCAACTGATCTATAAATTCACATTTTTCATATAAATTTTCAGAAGAAGTTGTTAAAATCACATTAGATAAAAGCGTCAAACAAAAAAAGGGAAGAGAGCTTAATCCTTAGGTAACGGGATTTGAAGGCTATAAATGCAATTGCAGATACATTTCATTTTTAACCTTGCCCGTTTGGAAAATCCCAGTAATAAAGTAAGAATGAGTCAAAAATATGCGATTTTATACTCGAAAAATAGAAAATAGTCACTTTGTGTACAACAACCAAAAATATTGACTAAATCTTTATTTTCTGCGAAATATGTACTTTTTTTATATCGTCAATCTAATTATTTCATTCTAAAACGGGTATATCCAAAATATTGGGTTGATATTCCTAATAATAAAAAATATGTTTTTTACATAAAATCCTCACACTAGGGGCCAGGAAACTTAAATGTACAATTTATTTTGAGAAACTTTTTAAATAAAGGAAAAAAATGTTTTGAACTAAAAAATACTCTGTTTTGCTGAAAACATGCGTACGAGTTTTGGTAAGGCCATATTAAAATTAGGATAAAAACAATGTTCATCTTGGAAACAATAAAGGGACAATCTGGGAGATGTGCTATATAAATATGCTCACGTGGACGCGTGGACCTAAACCTTTCGTTGGAATAACAGAGAGTGTGCAGAAGAGCGACCTGAATAAATGACTCATGAGGTAATTGCATAAGAGAGTTCACCGGAACTGAGTCAGTTGAGGGTTCTAATGGCGGAACCCTCTACGCCTGAGTCCAAAAAAATCTGTGGCGCAGAACTAGAAACGCTGGTATGGATCGAAAGGTCTGAATGCAAAACCCTGGTCGATAGGCGGAGAGAATAGGAATATACAAGGTGTTGGGGAACTGTCGACGCCCCACTTCTAAATTGCCTTCGTTGAGAGAGCTGTGGTTATTACTAGTTTAGAAGTATTGAAGTCAACCATGCTTTAATCCATAGTACATACGACGATATACACTCCATGCCTCAAGTTAACCGGAAACTCTTCGTACTGATGACATCTAGTTGTTGAAATATTTGTTTTGGTATCCAAAGTGTTGCAAAAAGATTAAATAAATAAAATTAAATTAAAATAAAAGTTCATTTGAACAATGCCTCGTTTTCATGATGCAAACCATTTTTTAAAATTTATTTCAAATTTACCGTTAAGTTATTGAGGTGGTTGAGGTGGTTCACGCAAATTCTTTAAGAATGTTATAAAACACTTACCTAAAATGTTTTTCTTATTTTTAGATGTAGAATCTGCCAGTAAGTTTGCTTCACAACATTCTGTAACACCCTGTTAAAAACAATTGTCTAAGAAGAATTTGTCGCCGAAAATTTGATTCACAATCCTCCGCCTAACTTGGAATCGACTAATTGAATTACAGTCTAGGATCAAGTTATATTCGTTGTCAAATAACCCAAACATTTAGCAATTTACTTACATCGGTCGAGCTTTTAAGCACTACCAAAACATCTATATCTATATGGCGAACAATCTCCGTAAGCGAATATATTAATTACGTTCAACCCTAAAGCAAGTCCCTATTTTCTCCTTTTCGGTTTACGACTGGTTTTAATCCGATATCACGATTTATGTGTACGACATCTCCGAAATAATCCCTATCCCCCCTTCTCTTGATCAGGACGTGGTAAACCAACAAAACGAAATGATTTGAAAAACAGGCTTCCGCATAAAAAAATGCCTGAAAAATTTCAATCGCACTCAGGCATCGCTCTCTGAATAAATTTTGCCTTATATATACATTATTAGTCTGCTGCCAAATGGAACAAAAATATAGCTTTTTGTGCGGGCTGGCTGAGTGGAGGGTGCCGAAGTTTTGAGACATTTTTAAAACAGAGAAATTGGAAATTTTGCTTTGTACCGTGGTTATATGATGGCGGAAAATTAAAATATTCTACAAAAATAGTCTATTCTGATTATATCTTAGTGGTCAACATTGAAATAATGTAAAAAATATGCATAAATTAAATAAATAAATAATTTTGAAATTGTTCCATTTATGCACCGATGTGATTATCATGCGTTTTGTACAATTCATCATCGACTCCGACATTACGAAATTAACCAACGTTTGCAATTTGTCTAATTTAGAACTTGTCTTGGTTAATTGAAAACTGAAAAAAAAACTAATTGACATACAAAATTGACACTTCCATTACCAATTTTGCGTTCTTACCCCGACATCCAAAATTAGATCAACGGGGGTAAGATCGATTAAAATGGTGGTATTCTGCTGCTGCTGTTGATCAGAAAGTTGGTTCTCGCTCCAGATCCGTCGATAGAACAAATAAAGCGTATATTGAAGTTGGGCGATTGTAGTTAATATAGTGTCTCGGATCGGACGTCTTTCCTTGTGCGATGTCCGGTTTCCCAATGCGTTTTCTTTTAAAAGGAGTTTTCTATTCCACTTCTTTATTGAAAATTCTAGAGTTGTGAAGAAGCGATTCCTTTACGCCCATGCTTGTTCTTATTTACTCGTTCGTTTTCTTATCTAAGCGAGATACTCCTGAATCTTTCCATTTCCAAAGCGTTAAATCTCGTTTTGTTTTCTTCTGCAAGTCCACGCGCTTCTGATCCATATGGAACACTGATTTTTATCATTTAGCATGTATTTTCGTTTCTTTCCTATCTGTTTTGACCAGAATATGCTCTTAAGGCAACTGGTCGTCTTTCTAACTTGGTTAGTTATATTTCTGACGTCGTCTGTTTCAGTGTTATTGCAAAATACACTATTGCAATAGAATGGTATTCCTGTTGTAGCTTTCGACCTGTGTAAGAGGGATCGCCCTTGTTAATTGCAATTAATATTTGCAAATTGTAACGTCCATAAAATGGTATCTTCTATCTTGCTAGGCATTTTCGTTTCCATGCATATAGTACAGATATTGTACTAACTGTAACTGCCATAACATGAAGAAAATTGTTGGTTTCCTTGTTAGAGACCGCTAAATAACTCATTTTATGTAACATATTAGGAGTATAAAAAGCGTATCCAAAGTTTGCCAATTATCCACGGTATGGATAACGCAACAGCCTCGTAATAATTCGTTATATAATAAAGATGATGTCTGCGAGTGCAAGAGCCACGGACAGTTAATCTCCGACATTGACTAATGATTCCGTGTAGATGGTGCATGACTAAAGCGGCCCAAAGTAGTTGCAAATGTTGCCGACCGAGCGTTAAACAGCCCCGGACATTATTATGCTTTTTGTTTCGTTTGATTAGTCGTCCTTCCGCTAGGGGGAGTACGTTAGGTTCATAAATAATTTAAAATTGGAAAATGAAATTCAGTTTAATCGTTTGAATAATTGCCGCGGCTGACAAAGTAACGTGGAATTTTAATTTCGCGCTTTTAAAATGTCTATACGCGAAGCAATATGGCGATGTTAGAGTGAAATATGTAAATGATTTAAATCACTTAATATGGTTTTTCTGCAAATGCTTATAAAAGTTCGCAACTTAACACCATTTGCATTTGTTAAGAATCTCATTTTAAAACAATTAAAAGTGGGAACGAGAAAATTATTTTAGTTATTTGAAATATTTTTCCATTAGTAATAATAATGCTTTCATTTTATTATGTCATGAACCATGTAATTCTAGTCCTTGCAATTTTGACGTCCTGAAATTTGTTAGTTATTATAATTATTTATTATTTTTGCAAATCAATAATAAATATTAATTTACTGTCTTTTCGCGGGACTAATACTGTGAGAACGGAAGACTGTATGAAGGAACGCTAGAGGTATTTCAACTAATTACATGGGGCTTTGGGAGAATTCCACGGGAATTCCCATGAATTGCAGTTTAGTCGAAATGCAATTTTTGTTTTATATTTTACGTTGTTAAATTCCCAATTTACCAATTATATACCAATTGGTGGAAGTTATTTTAAGTAACAATTACCAACACAATATTAGTTCGAAAGCTTTAAAAAGTCGAAACTGATATTTCTTTTCC